TTTTCTGGACCTCTTTGTACACAGAGTTTCAAATGTCCATCATGCTATCCAGAAGCAAAAATAAACACCACCCTACAAGAATCAATGTACTTTCAGGTCTGTGATGGCCGCGCACTTGGAAGCTGAATGAGAAGCAACACACATACTAAGCCTGATCAACAGCCTAAAAACAGAGACCTGGGTATGTCCCCAGTGGAGGACCCGCTGCCCTGACTAGCAAGACACAAGTCTTCCAGAGAAAAGATAAAGCTTTCGGCAGCTTATCTACCTGACCCCGATCGAGACAGCTAACTGTACTGGTTTTAACACAAAATTGTGTTTTGGGAGGGTACTGTGGATTTTCAGAGGGTCTCTGAATGCTGCTTCAGATGACATATCTTCCTCAAAAGGTAAAGAACGTCCATGATGGATGATGGACCTAGGGGAGGACAGCACCCCGGCCAATGCAGACCCAATGCGTTCTTACTGGAAGCTGATGGTAACTTGACACTGACGTCAGCTGAGGGTGAGATACCGTTTCATTGAGCACTGGGGAGGGGAGCTGCTTAACAACCCTGTGAACCAGATCCCAGGAGACAGGATGCTTCGCTTTACTGGACATTTGATTCTCCAAAAACCTTTGCCATTTCAACCCGTATGGTTGGAATTCTTTGAACTTGGATGAATCAACTTCCCATCTTAGTCCTTACTTCAGGTGTTCATGAAACGCAGCTGAACTAGTGGATGGGAATTTGTCACAGATGCTCGAACTGTCCATGGATACGTTTGAGGAACCTGAGAGGAATTGGAGCAGAGTAATAATGACCCCAGTACATATACCAAAAGACCATTAATTCATTAAAAAAAAAAAATTATTGAATATCTATCCTCTGCTAGGCATGAGAAACAAATATGACTTTGGGGAGGGATTAACAAAATATTACACAAATAAATATTTATCATTACAGACAACTATGTTCAAAGCTATAAAAGCAGTGAACAACTGACAAAGGGTCCCCTCCACTGGCAGTTAGGGAACACTTAATTGGGGAACTGATGTTTAACCAAAAACCAAATAGAAGAAAGAATACTTACAATGATTTTTAAATGACATTTTGGTTGCACTTAACTTTTATGATTTGATTCCACCTTAAACAGAAATCTTAAAAAATTTTAATTCCAGTTAGCTTGGTTTTCAGTTTTCTTTTCTTTTGGGGGGTTTTCAGTTTTCTGAGGTTTGAGCCTCAAAACAAAAGGGCTCCCAAACTGTTTGATATTCTTGGTGTCCCGAACTTGAAAAAGATTTAAGTCTCTCATTCGCCTGTAGAATCAGCAGATGAAACCTCTAGTAACACCGTGACTCATAGCAAGTACAGTGTTTTTTGAGCCATTCTTAATGACTGCAAATACCATTTATCTCAGGAATTCCCTTTTACTATGATCTTTCTCTGCTGAATCTTGGAAGAATTTTTTCCCTATTGCCTTTCTTATTTTTAAATTGATTTTAGCCCAGAAGAAAATTGCACGTCTTCAGGAGATAATGCTCAACTTCAGTCTGATTCAGTACTACAGCCGGTATTTGATTTCAATCCAAAGCTTCTAACAGCAAGCACAACAAATGTTGAAAAGAAAATGAAAGTATAGCACAATCTCATTACTTTTACTTACAGTCATTTTGATTTTGAAATTATCTCAAGCTTATTTCTCCAGTCCATAAATATCTGTTATTTGTTTCTTTCTTTCTATTTTCCTGGCTCTCTACTGAATAATTGTTTTACAGCATTTTCTAATAAATTCTCAAGGAAAGCATTTCTCCGTAATTCCAGCAGATGGCAGCATACAGCTACCATTCTCAAGGATGTACCTTCACTTCAGCTGAGCAGTTAATGCTGATAAAACAGTAGGGAGTCTCTGATACAGAATCTGAGCTGGCCGTGTAAGCGAAGTTCAACCCAACTGACAATATAACATTTCCAAATATCTTGTACATCAGCCAATGGTTGTTCAGAGTGAAAACTAATATTGCAAACAGCAAATTAAAGGAAAACAAATACACTTTTTACCCACTGGCTAGCTCAGCAACATCATTTGGAAAGCAGTAAAAAGGACATTTGTGAATTTGAACGTTCTTTATCGATCAGTTAGGGGAAAGAAACTAGAAGCCTAAGTGCTTCCTGCTGATTACTTGGTTCCCAGAACTTTTAACTGGAGCCCCCAGTTATCAGAAAGTTGCCGGACCCGTTAGCACTGGATATAGAGACTCATTTCTTTATTATTCCTGAGAGTTGAATCTTCCCTCTTGCTTGAAACAAGAACCCTAAAATCTGGTTGCCAGGAGACTTGGGGTGACCTGCAGATTCTTCCCTGATGGTCATGTTTTCCGGCCCTGAACTTTCTCACTTGTAAAAATAGCAGTAAGATGTCCTTCTATGCTTCCTTTATAGAAGTGTGGTGAGGACTGGGGGAAAAATTAAGAGCAAGTACCAGGTGTCAGGAGGTAAACTGAGGCAACAGAATCTGGTAATACAATGGTGGGTTCTGCAGCCATCACTGAAGGCTTGAACCCAGTTCCAGGCCATTAACTGTTCAGCTCTGTATAAACTACTCGAGTTCTATAAGGCTTGGTTATCACCACTAAAATACAAATCTAATGGTAAGAACTGGGTTTCCCTGGGGGCTCAGACAGTAAAGAATCCACCTGCAATGCAGAACACCCACATTTGATCCCTGGGTCAGGTAGACTCCCTGGAGAAGGAAATGGCAACCCATTCCAGTATTCCTGCCTGAAGAATCCCATGGATAGAGGAGCCTGGTAGGTTACAGTACATGGGATGAAAGTGTCAGACATAACTGAATGGCTAAACACACGCACACGCGCACACACACACATACATGATGGTAAGAACTAACTTATAGGCCTAGAATATATTTAGTCTGTTTTCCCTGCTCAATATATTTTGACTATTATTTGATAAGAAATATGAACTTTGTTCTGGCCTTGTTGTTAACCATCTATATGGTGGTGGTGCTGGTTTAGTTGCTAAGTCATGTCCGACTCTTGTGACCTCCTTGTGGCCTGCCAGGCTCCTCTGTCCATGAGACTTCCCAGGCAAGAATATTGGAATGAGTTGCCACTTTCTTCTCCAAACCGTATCTATGAACTTGGGTAACTCACACAATGTCTCAAAGTCTCAAGCTTCCTCACCTCTAAAATGAATAGGGGGATTTGAATGACATTTGACTCAAATATTTATTATGTATTTCTAAATTGAAAGTCCCATATAAATGAGAAGTATTTTTACCGAGTGGAAACCTGGAAGAACTAGATGAATTCAGCTGACAGATGTTTTCATGGAAGCGGTCAGGTCTGGGGACTGAATTAATCAGAGGGTTGTTTCCAGTGTCTATAAATACAGCCCCAGGTAATCAGAACATAATCACATTAATCATGTTAAACAGGTGACAGAGGACTGAGGCAACATCAATAACAACAGGGCCTGTAACACCAGCCAAGGTCGGGCCACTCAGGACTCAAGAAGATACAGGGGCTTCCTGAATGGAACAAATCTCCGATAAAGTCACCGTCTGACCACTCACACTCAGAGACACTCACCACAATCTCATGAGTGTCAAACCCTGAGTAATCCATGATCTATGAGGGTGCATGTATGCTAAGTGTGCTAAGTCGCTTCAGTTGTGTCCAACTCTTTGTGACCCCATGGACTGTAGCCCACCAGGCTCCTCTGTCCATAGAGTTCTCCAGGCAAGAATACTGGAGTGGGTTGCCGTGCCCTCCTCCAGGGGATCTTTCCAAGGATCAAACTCACATCTCCTACATTACAGGTGGGGTCTTTACCACTGAGCCACCAGGGAAGTCCATCTATCAGGGAAGTCTATGGATATGGAAGGATATGGAATCCATATGGAAGGATATGGATTTGTAGCACTCACCGTTCCCCATCAGTCTGCCAGTGGCTTCCAAAATTCAAGTAGTCCCCAGGAAAAAATGGACTTCCCATCAGTCAGATATGGCAAATCTGCAAGGACTTTGTATTGATATTTACTTGGATGGTTCTTTATTATTCCTTATCAGGAAGTCACATCCCAAGGAAACATCATGCACACTGACACAGAGTATTTCCTGCCATATCAGTAAACAAAGGATGTCGCTGCCATCCACGATTGCAGCCACCATGGGTGATGAGCTGGTGAGCCCTGAAGGAACTCAGGAAGGAAAGAATACCTACCCTCTACTAACAGCAGCAATCAGACTATACCCATTCTCTAGGGCGAGCCCTGAAGAAACTGAGGATATGAAAATATGGGATTCTGGCCCCAGATAGCTGAAGTACCTATCAAAGGAATGATTTCAGTGAGTCCAGACTCTTGCATCTTCCCAGATACAGAAAAGCACTAAATTCCTTAACTTGACATAAACTATGTCTTTAATTAACAGTCATTTTTGATGTTCCCAACTACTTGCCTTTTGTTGCAAAATTCCTATATATGCTAGCTCCCCCCTTGCCTCCTCAGAGCAGATTCTCAGGGCTATCTGAAACACTCTCTCCCAGCCTGCAGTCCTCATTTTGCCCGAAATAAAACTTTACTCACAACTTTCACGTTGTACATTTTAATTCAACAACACTTCTAACGGACTGTGGAAAAGAGACCAAGGTGGGGAGCTGGGGCTCAGATCAGACCGGCAGTGAGGAGCACAAGCGACAAGGAGGAAGCAGACATCTGGCAGACATGGGCTGAGACCATCCAGGTTGAAAGAGAAAATGAGAAATTCAGCATCACTTGTCAGAGCTCCGGAGTTCGGTCTCTCAGCACCCACTGGCTGTAAACTCAGTGACAAACTCAACAAAAGATGTAGAGTCCTAATAAAACCGATCACAGCAGTTAAGCCTCAGCTAAGATTGTCATGGTCTGTGTGTGTGTTGGAAAAGAATTTCCAGACATGAGGCAGAATGAAGGGAGAATAAAATTTATTAGAGTGGGAAACACTGTTAGAACAGCAGGCCAGCTTAAGGGAAAGTCAGCTCCTTTTGCAGCAAGTAGCCAATTTTTATAGCCTCAAGACAGAGAAAATTCCTACTGGAACGGTGGCACTAGGGGATTGGCTAGGATGTTATAGGGTGGATATTAGGGTGGGTTTTTTACCTAACATGGGATCAGGGAACAGGCTGGTTTAGATCAGGAGGCTCATGGCAACAGTTGCTATGGGGCTTGGTCAGTTTCAGAGATTTTTGTCCTGAGACCTTGGTACAGGGCTCCACACCTGTGACCTTGGTATAGGACTCCACAAAGAGCAAATCATATTTTAAGATGTCCCAGGCAAACCAAAGGAAAAGCAGAAGGCTTCTTGGTGAGTGAGAGAACTGGAGGAGGAACGGCATCTGGAGGTGGTCCAGGCCAAGAAAGGACTCGGAAGAACAGCATTAGTGAGGTCGACAAACAGGCCTCCCACTGCCCTTTACTGAAGGGCATTTGATCTCAGCAGGGTTCTCCCATGGTCAACAAGCACACGGGAAGGATGGAGGAAGGTAGTCTTCCTCCTTGTTTTTACTGCAGTGCCAGCAATACACTAGAAGAGTTTCACTAAAAAATGGGTACATACACACCATGGAATATTACTCAGCCATTAAAAAGAATTCATTTGAATCAGTTCTAATGAGATGGATGAAACTGGAGCCTATTATACAGAGTGAAGTAAGCCAGAAAGATAAAGACCAATACAGTATACTAACACATATATATGGAGTTTAGAAAGATGGTAATGATAACCCTATATGCAAAACAGAAAAAGAGACACAGATGTACAGAACAGACTTTTGGACTCTGTGGGAGAAGGCGAGGGTGGGATATTTTGAGAAAACAGCATCAAAACATGTATATTATCAAGGTTGAAACAGATCACCAGCCCAGGTTGGATGCATGAGACAAGTGCTCGGGCCTGGTGCACTGGGAAGACCCAGAGGGATGGAGTGAGAAGGGAAGTGGGAGGGAGGATCGGGATGGGGAATACATGTAAATCCATGGCTGATTCATGTCAATGTATGACAAAACCCACTACAATATTGTAAAGTAATTAGCCTCCAACTAATAAAAATAAATGGAAAAAAAAATAAAACCATAAGCCAAAAAAAATAAATAAATAAATAAAATAAATAAAAAACAGCTTCTTGGGACTTCCCTGGTGGTCCAGAGGCCAAGACTCCAAACTCCCAACGCAGGGGGCCTAGTTTCAATCATTTGTCAGGGAACTAGATCCCGCATGCCTCAACTAAAGATCCCGCTTGCTGCAACTAAGATCCTGTGCAGCCAAATAAATAAAATATTAAAAAATAAAAATAAAAAAACTTCTTGTTTCTGCTCCCTTTTTTTTTTTTTTTTGATGCTATCAAGTGCAGTTTTCTGCATTTAGACTCTGATAAAAGAGCAAAAATTGAGGAACATTTTCAAAATTCTTCATATAAATTAACTTAGTTGTCCTGAGGACAACTCCATAGAGGTTATTATAAACTCTGATTTTATTCACAAGGAAAATAAGAGACAGATCATTTCGTTGTGCTTCAGTTGCTCAGTCGTGTCTGACACTTCGTGACTCCATGGACTACAGTACACCAGGCTTCCCTGTTCTTCACCATCTCCCAGAGCTTGCTCAAACTCATGCCCCTTGAGTCAGTGATGCCATCCAACCATCTCATCCTCTGCCATCCCCTACTCCTCTTGCCTTCAATCTTTCCCAGCATCAGGGTCTTTTCTAATGAGTCGGCTCTTCGCATCAGGTGGCCAAAATATTAGAGCTTCAGCTTCAGCATCAGTCCTTGTAATGAGTATTCAGGATTGATTTCCTTTAGGATTGACTGGTTTGATCTTCTTGCAGTTCAAAAGACTCTCAAGAGTCTTATCCAACGCCACAGTTCAAAAGCATCAATTCTTCGTCATACAGCCTTCTTTATGGTTCAACTCTCACATCCACACATGACTACTGGAAAAACCACAGCTTTGACTATATGGACCTTTGTTGGAAAAGTAATGGCTCTACTTTTTAATATGCTGTATAGGTTTGTCATAGCGGTTCTTCCAAGGAGCAAGCATCTTTTACTTTAACAGCTGCAATCACCATCCCAAGTAATTTTGGAGCCCCCAAAAATAAAATTTGTCACTGTTTCCATTGTTTCCCCATCAATTTGCCATGAAGTGATGGGACAAGATGACATCATCTTCATTTTTTTTTTGAATGTTTAGTGTTAAGCCAGCTTTTTCACTCTCCACTTTCACCTTCATTAAGAGGCTCATTAGCTCCTCTTCGCTTTCTGCCATACAGGTGGTATCATCTGCATATCTAAAGTTATTGATATTTCTCTTGACAATCTTGATTCCAGCTTGTGCTTCATTCAGCGCAACATTTAGCATAATGTACTCTACATAGAAGTTAAATAAGCATCTCTACATAGAAGTTAAATAAGCATGGTGACAATATACAGCCTTGAGGTACTCCTTTCCCATTTTTGAACTGGTCCATTGTTCCATATCTGGTTCTAATGTTGCTTCTTGATCTGCATACAGGTTTCTCAGGAGGCAGGTCAGGAGATCTGGTATTCCCATCTCTTTAAGAATTTTCCAGTTTGTTGTGATCCACACAATCAAAGGCTTTAGTATAGTAAATGAAGCAAAGTAGATATTTTTCTGGAATTCTCTTGCTTTTTCAATAATCCAACGGATGTTGGCAATTTGATCTCTGGTTCCTCTGCCTTTTCTAAATCCAGTTTGAACATCTGGAAGTTCTCAGTTCACGTACTGTTGAAGCCTTGCTTTGAGAATTTTGAGCATTACTTTGCTAGCGTGTGAAATGAGTGCAATTGTGCACTAGTTTGATCATTCTTTGGCATTGCCCTTCTTTGGGATTGGAATGAAAATTGATCTTTTCCAGTTCTGTGGCCACTGCTGAGTTTTCCATATTTGCTGGCATATTAAGCACAGCACTTTTAACAGCATCATCTTTTTGGATTTGAAATAGCTCAACTAGAATTTCATTAACTCCACTAGCTTTGTTTGCAGTGATGCCTCTTAAGGCCCACTTGACTTTACACCACTCCAAGATGTCTGGCTCTAGGTAAGTGAGCACACCATTGGGTCATTAATATGTTTTTTGTATAGTTCTTCTGTGTGTTCTTGCCACCTCTTCTTAATATCTTCTGCTTCTGTTAGGTCCATACCACTTCTGTCCTTTATTGTGCCCATCTTTGCATGAAATGTTCCCTTGATATCTCTAGTTTCCTTGACGATAACTGTAGTTTCTCATTCTATTCCTCTATTCCTTTGCATTGGACTTTACTTCCATCACCAGTCACATCCACAACTAGGTGTTGTTTTTGCTTTGGCTCTATGTCTTCATTCTTTCTGGAGTTATTTCTCCACTGATCTCCAGTAGCATATTGGGTACCTACCGACCTGGGGAGTTCATCTTTCAGTGACCTATCTTTTTGCCTTTTCATACTGTTCATGGGGTTCTCAAGGCAAGAATACTGAAGTGGTTTGCCATTCCCTTCTCCAGTGGACCACATTTTGTCAGAACTCTCCACCATGACCTGTCCATCTTGGGTGGCCCTACATGGCATGGCTCATAGTTTCACTGAGTTAGATAAGTCTGTGGTCCATGTGATCAGATTGGTTAGTTTCTTGTGATTCTGATTTTCATTCTGTCTGCCCTCTGATGGAGAAGGGAAGAAGTTTATGGAAGCTTCCTAATGGGAGAGACTGACTGAGGGGGAAATTGGGTCTTGTTCTAATGGGCAGGGCCATGTTCAGTAAATCTTTAATCCAATTTTCTGTTGATGGGTGGGGCTGCATTCCCTCCCTGTTATTTACCTGGGGTCAAACTATGGTGGAGGTAATGAAGATATGTGACATACCCTGGGCTGATGAAGCACCAGCTGGAATCAAGACTGCTGGGAGAAATATCAATAACCTCAGATACACAGATAACACCACCTTTAGGGCAGAAAGCAAAGAAGAACTAAGGAGCCTCTTGATGGAAATGAAAGAGGAAGGTGAAAAAGATAGCTTAAAGCTCAACATTCAGAAAACTAAGATCATGGTATCTGGCCCCATTAGTTCAGTTCAATTCAGTTCAGTCGCTCAGTTGTGCCCGACTCTTTGTGACCCCATGGACTACAGCAAGCCAGGCCACCCTGTCAATCACCAACTCCCGGAGTTTACTAAAACTCATGTCCTTTGAGTTGGTGATGCCATCCAACCATCTCATCCTCTGTCGTCCCCTTCTGCTCCCAGCTTCCATCTTTCCCAGCATCAGGGTCTTTTCAAATGGGTCAGTTCTTTGCATCAGGTGGTCAAAGTATTGGAGTTTCAGCTTCAACATCAGTCCTTCCAATCAACATTCAGGACTGATCTCCTTTAGGATGGCCTGGTTAGATCTCCTTGCAGTCCAAGGGACTCTCAGCGGTCTTCTCCAACACCACAGTTCAAAAGCATCAATTCTTCGGCCCTCAGCTTTCTTTAACAGTCCAACTTTCACATCCATACATGACTACTGGAAAAACCATAGCCTTGACTAGATGGACCTTTGTTGGCAAAGTAATGTCTCTGCTTTTTAATATGCTGTCTAGGTTAGTCATAACTTTCCTTCCAAGGAGTAAGCATCTTTTTTTTTTTTTTTTTGAGTAAGCATCTTTTAATTTCATGGCTGCAATCACTATCTGCAATGATTTTGGAGCCCAAAAAAATAAAGTCAGCCACTGTTTCCACTGTTTCTCCATCTATTTGCCATGAAGTGATGGGACCAGATGCCATGATCTTAGTTTTCTGAATGTTGAGCTTTAAGCCAACTTTTTCACTTTCCTCTTTCACTCCCATCAAGAGGCTCTTTAGTTCTTCTTCACTTTCTGCCATAAGGGTGGTGTCATCTGCATATCTGAGGTTATTGATGTTTCTCCCGGCAATCTTGATTCCAGCTTATGCTTCATCCAACCCAGCGTTTCTCATGACGTACTCTACATATAAATTAAATAAGCAGGATAACCATATACAACCTTGACATACTCCTTTTCCTATCTGGAACCAGTCTGTTGTTCCATGCACAGTTCAAACTGTTGCTTCCTGACCTGCATAC